ATTACTTGATGCTCAATCAACATTTCACCAAACATTGAATTTCCCAGCAACAGCATGACATACATGGTAACCTAGCAACAAATCTGAACTTGTCTGAGGTTGATACTCACTGGTCTTTGAGGGGTGGCTTGTGCAATCCGTCTTAGTTCCTGAGTAGCATCTAGTATTTGCTGTTCTGTGTTGTGTAATTCATCCTGTAGTTTGAGCAGTCGTTCTTGTGCTGTAAACATCAATAATATTTAATATACATGTATACAGGTATTTATAACACAGAATAGTTAATGTTTAGATTCTGCCCTTGGACTGTGGTTCTCTATTAGACAGAGTCTAGTATCTGAATTAATGAGCCTAAATGGCTGGACTGTAGTTACCTTTTCCAATATTCTGTTCTTTATCCACTAGCTGGTTGTCTAATGCCTGATGAATTCTGTCCTTTATTTGTTGGTTCATAGGATTAGCATCAGGTTCATCATAATTCAGCTTCTGTACCGTAACTGGTTGTGCTTTATTCAATAGAAACTTTTCACCAGCCGTGCCACTTCTTTTATACCTTGCTTTACCTATGTATGGACTTTCTTCCAAACCACCTTCATCCCCAGACTGCAGTATAAATCAAAACATATTCACTACAGGTTGTTTTGAAAACAATTCTATTCATCAATTTCAAAAATTATTCAGAATATAGTTATCTACAACTTACCTGAGATAGCTGTGGAAATTGTCCTAATGATTCAAACTTAGCATCTATTTTATAGAATGCAAGTTCTTGTTCTAGTCTGTAATGTTTCTGACATGCTTTGGTTAATTCTGAGGTCTTTCTCTTCAACTGAAGGAAAATAAAATAGCAGTGAAATAATATAAACACTAATTTACGTATCGAGCAGAACAAAGATAAAACAAACTGTGGACACCAGTAAATTTAGTACCCACAACTTGTTACATTAAAATGTTAGAACCTGTTGATTCTACATTTCATACTAGTAGTGTAGGATGTGGGCCACATTAGACTGGCAAAGTCGGGAATTCTTTCTTGTTTTACAAAAAGAAATAATTAATTGTTCTTTTAGTCCTTTTAGCGTAATCGCGAAAACTGACCTGACCGCTAAAGAAATCCCGACTGGACGCATCTGCGGGCATTTGACTGCTATTAATTATTCATGATGTCATTGACTATTCATGAGTGGGTGTGTGAAAGTAAACATGACCTTTGATTGGTTGATTCGATTCGATCGCAGAGATGTATACTTTAACTTTCTAAATGCAAAGGCGATACTTTCATTCATGTTTACTGAAAACAAGTCAATTTAAAATGTCCAATGTATATAAGTAGTGTTTCAAAATCGCCGGGACCTCAGAAGTGAAAGGTCACGTACATTAACATAGATAATATATGACGTATACTGCTGCATTTTGATTCATTGTCAATGCTAGTCAACAACTTGTAATTAGCATAATCACCGGAGTGATTCCGCTTCGGTTTTCACTTCAACGCAGGGGGTCGCCTGCAGATGCGTCCTGTCGGGATTTCTTTCGCGGTCACGCTAGTTTTTTGCGACCACATTGAAAAGGCTTAATTGACATTTATTTATATTTGTGTTTGTAAAACAAAAAAGAATTCCCAACTTTGCCAGTCTACACTGGCAAGTGAAGTTTTTATAGATACATGTATAAACACAAAAACTAACTAAAGCAACATATAAACTGTAAGAATACTCTGACATGATATGGCTTGAGTCCCATATTCAGTGCTAGGGTGCCATAAACAGGAATAAATGCAAAATAAATATGACTACATCCTGGACACAACAGTAGGTAATTTACACAAATGCATTTTCTATCCCGGCTCAGAAGAGGAGATTTTAAAAGAATATAACTGTATTCAAAATGTATACAAGTGTGTATACTTATTAATACATAACATGAATTGTAGTGAAATGAGGTGTATTATACAGTAATACAGGTAAAAGTATTACTGTTGATTTACCAATTAATTTTTTCACGCAGTGATTCTTACCAATTCATCTTTTGTTTCTAACTCTTTCTGTAACTCTTTTATTGTTCTCTTACTGTCCTTTTCTTTCTTTTTCAACTCATCAACTCGTTCATCTTTGTGTTTGATTTCTGTCAATGACTTAGTTTTCTCTTCTTCTAAATTTCGCGACTTCTTTTCTTGTTTCTCCAGCCGATCTGCTAAGTTCTCAATTTCCTCTGTAGTGAAACACAGTATGGGTCACTTGATCATACATCAATCACTCATGCATGTTTCATTCTTGCATACTCATTACTCGTATAGTGTCTTCCATTCTGGAATTACTAATTCATGACGAGTTATATTATGGATGAATCGATATGTGCATTCCCCTGCCAGCATACAATTACTAACCTTGTTCAAATCTTTCCTGTGCTGCCTGCCTTTCCTTTATGTCAACAGATTGGCCGTCTAATATTTCTAATGTTCTGAGTTGAAAGACAATGAACAATCTTGAGTGAGGAAGCTCACATAGAGGGTTATCCGAAACATTCAGTTGCACCATATCTTTCAAAGGCCGCAGTCGGGAGATTTCTTGCAGCTGGAATAGAGAGAGAAATGCAATACTGAGACATATATACAGGATGGGATATGAAGAGAAATGCAATGCTGAGATATATATACAGAATGGAATATAGAAAGAAATGCAATACTGAGATATATATACAGGATGGAATACAGAAAGAAATGCAATGCTGAGATATATATACAGGATGGAATATAGAGAGAAATGCAATGCTGATATATATATACAGGATAGAATATAGAGAGAAATGCAATGCTGAGATATATATACAGGATGGAATACAGAAAGAAATGCAATGCTGAGATATATATACAGAATGGAATATAGAAAGAAATGCAATACTGATATATATATACAGAATGGAATATAGAGAGAAATGCAATGCTGAGATATATACCGTATTTATCCGGGTATAAGCCCAGGGTCTTGAACATGGAAAATTGCCAAAAAGAAGGGGTGGGCGTTTGCCAGATCATCCTCGGCAAAAAAAAAATGAAAAATTCGCGAAAATCAGCAACACGCAGTTCGATCGAACTGCGGCAGGGAATAGAACGGCAAATGAAAACATGCAACGGAAATAAATGAACAATATGCAACACTAGAAGTACAACAAAATTAATGTATTGCTTATAATGTGACAAAAAACCAGAAATAATAAAAATCGACAGTGAGGAATCATTTGAATGAAGGATTTTCCCGCCGACAAACACGCGTGAACTCAAAATTAATTAAAATGTCCGGGGTTAAACTGCGTAAAATGATTTCCGGTCTCGACAAATTACGCATCAACCGTCATACAAGATCAATAATAATTTACAAATTTACACAGTAAAAATTATAAAAATTCATAGCTGTTTGAAAAAAACTTTTCAGATCTTTATTTGTACGTTCATTGCCATCTTCGTCAAACTCAAAACCCTCAAAGTCCAAGTCGGCGTCACTGTTGCCGTCGAACAAAATCCCTACAACTTATTCCTGAAGTTCGTCGATATCGTCCCACACAATTTGGACTTAGCACTTTTAATCCACGGATTTCGCAGTCTGTCAGCTTGGCACTTTTCATTCATGTCTAATCATAACAAGTCATTGAAAATGACACAGTCCCCGTTAAGTTCCCTTTGTGCTCGTCATATTAAAGCGAAGGGGTTGTCGCGAGCGTGTCCTTGAAACTTG